CGCTACTAAAGCCACTTGGGGTAATGTCATTAAAGATCCACTATGTAACTTTTCCGGTGGAGGGTCTATCACTTGCTAGACTACAGTATGGCATTGAATTTGAATGCATGGATACAAGTTACAGGTCAGATCTGTGGAGAGGCGACCCTGCTCACAACAAGACCGTATTCAATAAAAAAACATCACATCTGTAACTGAATAAATGCAAAATAGATATTGATACTTCTTAGCTGATGTAAACAACTTTCCCTGGGGGTGTGATTCTAACTGTAGGCACTGCTCCGTCTGAAGCTCTGTTTCTCAGGTTTGACTTAATCTGACCAGAAAGACCTGACTTGGTTGGAACTACATGTAGAACACCCCCAGCGCGATGTCACTGCAAAGTACTTAGTAAACTCAACTGAAAAGAACACCAAAATAATAGTAGTAATAGTAGTATTTCTTTGAACAAACCATTCTCTAATTACTTAAACTTTAGTCGATATCTACAGTTTAGCCCGACTTTTTATTTTACTGGGGTGAAACTATTGAAAATAAATGACTAACAGATTGCAAAAAGTACTTCATTATCTTGTGATTGTAGTTCCACTTTTGTTTTGTTCCATGTGGGAGGGAGCCTCAGGTGTGTTATGATGGATCAAAATGAAGAGAGGAGCAGAGAAGAGGCCAAAAGGAGGAGGAGAGGAGGAGGAGAAGAAGAGCAGAGGGGGAAGAGAAGGGAGAGAGGAGAGGAAGAGAAGAGAGAGGAAGAGGAGAGGAGAAGGAAAGGAGGATGTGAGGGGAAGGAGAGGAAGCTAACAAGCCCCATGAGGCGGAAGACGGGTCCCAGCTGTGGATCCTGTCGCCATGGCGCTGTCACCGGAGCAAAGGCTGATGGGAAATAAACCTGATGCAAGAATGTCACGGGCACAAAACCGGTAGTTAAAGTATCGTCTTTGGTTAAAAGTTGCACTGTGTAACTTTTTTGGTGGAGCGTCTGCCAACTGCTCGTCTCCATGGAGATGTAATTGCTTTGTCTTGAATGTTATACAGTATGGAAATGAACTTACCACAATCACAATGGAGTTACTGGTCAGATCTATGGAAAAGCAAGCCTGCTCATAGAAAGAATTCATGTTTTTAGAGGTATTTTTGAGCTATAAAACAACAGTAATTAAATACATACAAGCCAGATAAATTTAATGCCATATTGTGGAACATTCCATGCAAAGAAATCAAATCCTCATGGAAACAATAAAGTAGCCGGGGCTCCATCTTAGAAGTGAAATAGTGCACTTGGTGTAATACTCTAATCTGATATTAAACAACCATCTTTTTGGAATGTTAGTTTTTCGGACAAAAGAAAACCACTGGTAATTTAGGAAAGAAAATCTAGACTTTGTAAATGAAGGGATGATCTGGTTTTAGAGAGGTTATTGCTTTTCTTGGAATGTTCCAGAGTATGGCATTAGACTTACATGTAGACAAGCAGTAGTATTTTAAGGGGACAGTCCAGAATTTTGGGCATTGGGTCTCATTTCCTAGTGAGCCAGAGTGTTGGAGATGTGTAGAGACACTTTTAAAAAATATTCCATCCAGCCAGACAGAATGTCTGTGTCGACAGAATAATTTTAGAAGTAAAACCAAACTTGCATTTGAAGGATTTATGTCTGAGCAGCAGCCGTGAGTTGTTCTTCCTGATAGAAAGCTTGACAGCAGTGGACTGATATATGAGAAAATAGTCCCTCAACATGCGACAATTCATGCAAAATAAGGTTAGTTTTATTTCAAACATTATTCTAACAACACAGATATTTACATCAATAGTCTTGTGTAGTAGTAGATTTGCTTCTGGTGTTTTGTGGAGTGGGTAAGACTGTTTTTAGTGGCAGGCTAACTATGGCCATTGGCATGTGCTAACCTAGCACCAGCTCGGACTATGTAAAAAAAAAAGTGTCTTTACACGTCTCTGACACTCTGGCTCACTAGGGGTCCTATGTCCAAAATTCTGAACCGTCCCTTTAAGGGGTAAAAACACTGAAATGAATAAATGCACTTTTAAAATTGCATTTTTTTTTTTCATTTGTACCAAAATGACAATGCACTACTGCTGAATCCTTAGTGTATCACTGATTAAGAAAATAAAATTGGAGAATGAATAATGAAGTAAGTACAGATCTGTGGGCGTTTGCCGGTGGCGGTGAAAACAGGTGTTGATCGGCAATATGGCGTCTTGAAAATAAGTTAATAAAAGATTGCTCAAACCTGCATGAATCACTCCAAATACAACTTTGTGTGAATAAATAGTGGTAAACAAGCCAAATAATATTATTTTAACAACATAATGACTCAATTATTTGACTCGTTTTGGTATAAAATATGTAGATTCTCATTTCAAGTACATTTTGTAAGTTTTCTTATAGAGGGTTCATCAAATGCTTTTCTCCATGGAAATGTTATTGCTTCGTGTAAAATGTTTGACAGTTTGGCATTAAACCTTTCGGTCTTGATGGAGACCAAACCAGACCAAGTTACAGGTCAGAACTGTGGAGAGGTGACCCCACTCACGGTCAGAATGCCTGTTCAAGATACTGTATTTCTGAGCTAAACTGATTGACAATAATTGAATAAATGTAAGGTCAAGCTGTTTAATGTCATACTGCGGAACATTCCAGGCAGAGCAATGACATATCTGTAGAAACAAGCAGGTGACGAAACCCCCAAACAAAATGTTACACAGTGCACCTTTAACTAAAAAAAATGTATACTTGGGATGCAGCTGGTTAAAGAGGCAATGAATCAAAATGTTCTTGTTATATAAAATTGTAAATTAAGCAATAAGAGGAAATTAGGTCGTTCAGCAAATACTCAAACAAAATTAGAACACTAAACTGACGCCATTTTTGAGAACGCAGGGTGCTGATGAACTGCTGTTGATACTTTAGTTTGAAACCTCTTTCCAATTATAAAACAATTAACAAATCTGTGGAAAAAAATAGAAGGAAAAATATATACGTATATCTCCCTCAATTTTCTAAGCAGCTGCAAGATACAAGTCCTAACAGTAGCTCTTTGCTTCCCCCTACTGGTTGCACAGCATATAGGAGTCAAAAGGAAACAATTTTAATAATATAGGTATATATTTATTTATACGTACATATTCATTTATATTGGTTAATTGTAAAAAAAAAAAAAAAAAAAAAAAAAAGAAACAAACAAAAAGAAAAAAAATATTAAAGGATTTACAGTAATTTATCAACTACAGTCATTGTCAAAATCTGAAATTTCTTGGGTATGAATGCACACACTATTCACCTTATTTCAACATTTTTTCCAGTGTTTTGAAAAAAGAAAAATACTAAACATAATTTGTAGTGTAGAAGACATTTCGCCTGTTTTGTGAAATCTGTGACTATTTTCTAATAAAAAAAAAAAAAAGACTACATTAAATTTTCTGTGGGCCAATAGAATTTTAACAGTGCATTTTGTAACGATAGACCAACATTCAGCTTTATCAGTATGTTAAACTAAATTAGCCTGGCCAGCAATTGTGACGTGTTTTTATATTGTGTAGGTGTAAAGGTAAAAATTTTAACTTAAAATAAATGTATGAAATAATTCACCATGAGATTTACTGCAGTATTGGTGAGGTAACCCAGCCTCACATAATCAGGCAGTTCAAATACGGAGTAAGTGGTTTATGGAAGGGCATCTGACTTAAAATGTCAAAACCGTGTCAGATATCACTCCATGTAAAGAGGCAGATGATTTGCTATGCGACAACATGAATAGAATTAAATAAAGGTTTTCCACAGTTTTCTAATATGAGACTTTTTTTGATTCCTTTGCTCTAAACCAGAATTTGAAGAATTGTGTTTGTGATTACATTTTTGAATTTTGATAACCGGATTCTAGAGCAAACTTTAAACAAATCTAAAAGTATGAACAGCTGAGGGATGCCTGAAATCTGAACTGCAAAACTAAAACAGGATACCTATGTCATTCAGAACTAGGGAATGCACCGATGTGATACTGAAAAATTTCCTTGATTGGATATTGGCTTCCAAATATCGGTTCGATATCCTGATTAATATAAATTGAAAGTCTCATAATGTTTGAACTTTGATTTACACAAAACTGTTCTGTAGTTACTTGAGAGATAAATACCAGCTACATAACAAATTTGGATCAGTTTTGTCTTATTTTGTTTTAGTTCAAAAGGAAATAAATGTTGTTTTTGAGTCTCTGTACTGGTATCATAAATCAGAGGTGGGACCAACCAACTTGTAATTTTGCAAGCCTCAAGTAAGTCTCAAGTCTTTGACCCCAAGTCTGAGTCAAGTCCCAAGTCAAATACAGGCAAGTTTAAGTTGAGTCTCGAGTCCCTGGCCCATAAATCCAAGTCAAGTCCAATTTGTCTGGTTTAAAGACTTGAAAGAGTTGCAGAAATGTAAATTTTTCCTTTTTAAATGTCTTGACAAGATATTAGTGTGAATCATTACAGTCAGAATAGAAAGAATTCAGAATTCAAAGTGCTTCTCAAGTCTTTTCAAGTCACAGGCCTCAAGTCCAAGTTGAATCCCAAGTTTTAACCCAATTAATCAAGTTAAGTCAAGTCCTAAAAGTAGTGACTCGAGTCTGACTTGAGTCCAATTCACGACTTGTATGTCCCCACCTCTGTCGTAAATATTTAAATCAAAAGTATCAGAATCGGTATCGACTGGATTGGTGCGTCTAATTCAATGTCAAAATGTAGATCACATTTTAAGTCAAATTCACAACAGTAGGCAAACATTTTAAGAAAATGAAATGCGATGTGTGATGAAAATTGCAGTGTTTTTTGTGAATTGCTACTTGCGACCATTCAGCTGTGCCCTATCGTGTTTGAAGGTGTCCGGTCTGACCAGGCTAGTGTCCAATATCCACTGTGTATTCAGAAAAAGCAAGGCAATGAAATTAAAGGGAGAAAAGTCAGATTCTGTGGCAAACGTCGCCGTAAATGATCTTCTTCTCCGAGATGGTAACATTCAATATTTTAACTCCTCCACAGACACTTGTACCACACATGTACCACAATTGCACAAATGCCAATAAACCCCCCTCCCATTCCCAAAAAATAAAGACTAAACATTTTACAACATTACACTCTTAAACAACAAAAACTTGGAAGAGGGCTTAAAAAAAATTTAAAGGTTCTATATTACGCAAAATTAACTCTTGTGAGCTTTAAGTTATGTTAGAATGTTGTTACCTCAACCAAAATATACCTGGAGTTGTGTTTTGTTTCATTCACTTATCAAAAATCCATCCATCCGAAGCTCAAAATGCTCTGTTCCACCTTGTGATGTCATGCAGTTTTCAATTACCAGCTTACCTTTAGTTCAGTAGAATTTGACAATTCCAAGCCTGAAATTATCCAAATGATTCTAGTGAAAGTGAGCACAGCGGAGCACTTCCTGTATTATCAAAAGATTTTCTGTTTGAGAGAAGTATATGCTTAAACATGCAGGATTTGTGTGTAAAAATGTGTCATTGAACAAAACAAAACACAACTCCGGGTATGTCTGTGATGAGGAAACAACATTATAACGTGGATCAGAAAACGGCGTAATATAGGCCCTTTAATCCGGAGATACTGAACTGAATTTTCTGAAACACAACTCAATCCAAACCACGCCAAAAACAGAAAATGCCACAGAAGAGAAGAAATCTAGAGAGAGGTGGAAAAGCAGATGTGAAATTTGGACAAAAAAGCAATAAAATACGATTATAAAATTAAACAGGACATAGTAGAGCGGGTGAGAAGGAAATGCAAATCACTGCAAAAATGAAAACCCACATTAGTTAAAATTGATCAAAATGAAGGATATTAATCTTGGTTTGAGCAGACTTGACGTATTTAGACTCTTAAGAAGTTGATCTGGCTTGTCAAACTTCTCTCAAGGTAAATCAGTCTGGTTTCATTTCAGTAATTTCAAAAGTGGAGTAAGAAAATTCCTCTTTGCTAACAAATTAATAAATAATCCCAAAAAGTCAATAACATAATAAAATAGCCAATGTTAGTGTTGGTTGAGACTACAAGTATCAACAAAAAGTCACAGTTTATGAAAGATTACAGTGGAAGTTTGTTCTATTTTGAACAGACTTTAAAAATTAACCACCGCGTTTCAAATAGGAAGTAAACATGGCTGCTCTTGTGGCTCCAGTGACTCTGGCTCCAATTCACTTTGTATCGAAAAACTAACTGCTGCTGTCAGGCTCCTCACTTTTCTGTTAAAATGTTCGTATTAACTCGCTCTGCGTGATCCTGGTGTTTTTATTTCGCTATTTTGTCTGTAAATAAATTCTTGTTTCTAATACGGAACAGGCTCCAAGTTTGCCCCTGTAACTGCCGGCCTCGATGAGCTTCATTTGACTGGAGCTGAATGCTATAGATGACATCACATTCTCTTTGTCCACTTCTTTATACAGACTATGGTTTTAGATCAACTATTTTTTTGAATCTTTTTCACTATAGTCAGTGTACTTGATATTCTAAGTGTGCATTTACCTCAAAACTCAATTTTTACCTTAGTCAGTTTTTCCATACCTCCTATACCTCAAGGACATTAGGATAATTTCCCAAAATACCATGAAACACTCTAAATAAAGCAACTAAGCGAACCCAAACCCAAAATTAAGACAAATATTCAAATTTCAAACCATTTTAACTCATGTGGGTGTTGAATTTTACAGTGTACTTTTCCAATGGGGCGTTGAAGTCCATAAAAGCCCTCCGCTTGCTATGATCAATCAGAAGGCCAATTTTACACCTCCATTGTTCATGTGTCATGTCTTTTCCATCCGCAGCAATTTTGTCCTTTGCAAGGCATCATGGGAGTTCAAGGGTCGCTGTCACTTCAAATGAAAAAGGACATACTTTTTTTTGATTGCGTGTAGTTTTCGAAGTTGTAGTCTTTTTGCATTGTCCCGGCAAATAGGATACATAATGTCGTCATGATTTTGTCTTTTTTTTTCAAACCAGCCAGCATCTTATTTCACAGTTCCAAGATGTCTGACATTTTGAATTTTCTTTACACATTTTTTTCCATTGTTTTCATAGTTCAAAATACTCCTCTCCATTGCATTCATGTTCTGTCTTCGCTGGCTTTTTCTCGACTAGGACTCTTGGTGTCCGCACATTTCGATTTTTTAAAAAACTAGAGATGTTACATGCAACATTTGGCATCTTCTCCATTCTCTGCGTATAGGCGAAATCCGTGAAATCCATTCTTTAGAAAAATATTGTTTTTTTTTTATTCTTCTGATTGTAACAGAGAGACAGAGAGAGGTGTATTGGCAAGCAGGATTTCAATCTACGTTTCTGTGTTAGTAAAATCAGTCTCCGCCTCCTTTTTTAATTCTAAAGTGTCAAGTTTTTATTTATAGAAGAGAGTTTACCAAAAGGAGAAAAATGTCCAGCAAGTTCAAATATACAACTTGAATGAGGAAAGTGCAATGCGTACAACTTAAAGGTATATATTTTAGTTTGTTTGTAGCTATATTGTAGTTAATTTGGTATGATAGTGTCTGAAAATCTGCTTAAAATTATTTGAATTGAAGTGCTGTTTCTATGGTGGCCCAACATACTTCTACTACAGTACTACTGGGGAAAAAATACATTCAAACAGACATGAAAAAAAAGAATTAGCCATTATTTTTAAGTGGTGTTTGTGCCATATATATGTCCCAATCAGGCACCTATAGTTTGGGTTTTCTGTATTTACAACTGTAAAGCAAAAAGTTGATGTTATCTACTTTTATTGCCTTATTTATACAAAAAATCATATACTTTTGCTACTTAAGTCATTGGTAGTATTAAAGCTATTATTCTATATGTTGTTCATTGGACCCTTTGGACCAAACAGGAGTGTGCATTATTGACAAAAAAAAGTCTATATATAAATTATTAATCTTAATTTTAATGCTATTCAGAAAATATTAAGGCAATACATCAGATATGTGCCAAAATGTGACTATAAATTGTCATGGTTGAGGTTCAAGTTAATAGTGATTAGACTTTAACAACAAAAATGCAGAATTATTGCTTAAACCCTGCACTGCAAATTAATTTTTTTCATTTTTTGCAAATTTAGTAACTTATTTTAATTATTGTTACCATTAATTATCATGTTGGTGACGATATTCTAATTTACAATTTCCTCAAAACCTCAAATCTATACTAACAATTTCTCATCTCTAAGACAAAGTTCAAATTCATTCAGTATACTACCGAACATTAGTCAGTATTTCAACTTACTGGACATTTTGAGCATTGGTACACCCTCTTCTATAGATAACCATAAGTGCAAACAACTGCAAAAGTATATTTTAAACCCCATAAGGTTTTCTGCTGTTATTCTTGTCCATTTTAAAGGCATCACGAGAGTTTAATGACCAGTTTTGCCTTTTGTGGTACGTATTAACACCACTATTGTTACTACACATTAATACAGGTCTGAATGCTGATCTTGTATATTATAGAGGTAGCAGAAAGTTGACCTTGAAACACTGTTGTTGTGGCTAATTTAACCCCCCCCCAAAATACTCAAAGTGCTAAATAAGTAAAGTTATTTGATTTTGTACAGTCCTTGTGTTTTTTTAAAGCTGCATTGTGCAACTTGTCTGGTGGAGGGTCCGTCAAATGCTTTTCTCTGTGGAGATGTTTCACAGTATGGTATTACACTTTTCAGTCTTCAAGTTACAGGTAAGATCTGTGGAGAGGCGACCCCGTTCACAAACAGAATGCTTGTTTTTTTTTAGATATTTTTGCGCTATAAAAACACGTGTAATTGAATAAATGTAAGGTAGAGCTGTTTAATGTCATACTGTGGAACATTCCAGACAGAGAAATGACATCCATAGAAACAAGCAGGTGATGAACTTTCCACCAGAAAAGTTTCACAATGTACCTTTAAGTTTAATTTGCTTTGGTGATCAAATTTATGGTTTGAAATTTAAGGTAATACTAGGTTGTTCATTTATTGCCTATTGCTAAGCTCCGCCTCCAAATGCCATGGACCAATCACATTCCTTGTACCTATAAAGTTTTCTTAATAGGACTTTCAAACTAAGATGTCAACAGTATACTTTGTAAGACTGAATTAAGTTTGACAATCACAAAGTCAAGTATGGAGAACTGATGATGCATTCTTAAGGAAGGGCATCAGGTTTTCAAATTATACCAAATTGATATGCAAATACCTGTAGAAATAACAGGAAGAAAGCGGATTATATTTGAAATCTAAATAAAATGTATGGACTATAGTGATTGGCTTGATAAACATTGGTTCAGTTTGAGACATTGTTAAAAATACAGTATTTTAAAGTCCATTTCTAGTTACAATAAGAACCAATCAAATGACTGAATAGAAAAAGTTGGGAGGAGCTTAGCAATAGGCCAATAATGTCATTACCCAATTTGAGTCCGAGCCAAATCTGCATCAAAATTCAATATACGGCAACCTATACACAGACAAACTACTTGTAATATGCTGTTTTATTTTCAGTTCAATCTGAGCCCAGCCCTCGTGTTATCAGCACATTTAACTGCTACAAAACCCAAGCAAACAGATCAGTGCAGAGATTAAGCCCATCTGATCTTTAATGTGTTTACAGTGATACGGCATTTTACAAGTGTTTTCCTAGAAATACAAGGCTTATGAAACTTTAAAGGTGTGATATTACGCAAAATTGACTCTTGTGAGCTTTAAGTCATGTTATATTGTTGTTACCTCCTCAAAAACAAACCTGCAGTTGTGTTTTTTTTCATTCGCACACGTCCGAGTAAACCTGCATTACTAGTCTTTCAGCATTTCCAAAGCTCAAAACACTCTGTTTCACCTTGTGATGTCATGTAGTGGTAGTTTTCAAGTTAACAGCTCCCTTTTACCTTTAGTTCAGTAGAGATCAAACAATCAATCTATCCAACTTTCATACAAAAAAAAAAAATGCAACAAAAAGCACACAAGAGATTGGCAATTCCAGAGTAGAAATTATCAAAATTATTTCAGTGAAGGTGTGCGTGGTTTAAAAACACAGTGGAGCACTTCTTGTGTTACCCTATGACATCACAAGGTGGAACAGAGCGTTTTCAGTTTGAGGAAGAACATTCAGGGTTTGTTTTTGACGAAGAAACAACAATATAACATAGATCAGAAAAAGGTGAGCTAAGGTTTCAACTGACAGATATTTTTAGCTCTTTCTGAGGAGTAAAATAATAAAAATAAAGCCAAGCTAAGGCCGACGCAAATTAGGCAAATGACTCAAATTGGGCAATGAAAAGTAGTATTCACCTATCCTAATCTACATCTGGTGTTTGTGAATTAATAATTTGGGAATGTTTGGAAAATTCACCTGTGTTTATTCAAAACGTCATCATTTTGTCTCTCTCCCTCTCTCTCTCTGCAGGTCCAGAAGGGAAAGAAAGGGGGCGGTGCTGGGGGCGCTGTGCATGTGAGCTTAGGTTTTGGGGGGGTGGGGCCGGCGGCTGTGGGCATCGACAGGTCAAAGGTCACAGGCCAAAGGTGAAGGTGGGGGAGTGAGGAGGGGGGGGAGTCTTTGCATCATAGGAGGACACAGCAGCGGCAGAATCTCTGACGACTGCCCCCCACAGACGGAGGGGGGGTGACCGGGGCAAAGTACGCGTGCACTTTGATGTTGGGCAGGTGAGTCTGTGGAAAACAACAAGAACAACTGTTAGAATTGATCCCTCGGTGTGTGATGCCAACTGTAAGCACTGCTCTGTCTGAGGCTTGTTACACTTTAATTTAACACAAGCTCACTAGAAAGAGCTGACTTGGGTAGAACTAAAACAGGTGAGATGATTTTGTGCTGCTAAACAAATCTGACCACACCTCAGTTCTCTTTCCTCGCTTCCTTCTCCTTGATTCTGCAGGAAATGGGTGAGGAAGTCCCACCCAGAGAGGAGACAAAGAGAGGAGAGAGGATGTAAACTCCTCACTGAGACCAATAAAGTTTGATTCTTTTAGCTGATGTCTGCCTCTTGAAGCCTCCCTCGTGTTTACACCTTCACTCCGCGGTTTTCTTTGGGACACCACTTAATATGACGCATTTGATTGACAGCTGAAAAATGGAGGATCAAGGTGAGGAAGCGAGGAAAGAGAAATAAGAAGCCGCCAGAAATATAACTAACATTAGCCAACAGTTGTTCAGTTAGTCACTCTCAAGTTTTTGTTGAAAAAAACCCCCAAAAAAACCCACATAAAAAGGACCATGAATGCTTGAACTGATCACTGGCTCGTGTGTTGTATGTTTAAATACATTTTTGCTTTCAGTCTATTTGCATTATAATTCTTCCTTGACACAATCATTTAAATTTTAACAACAAAACAGTGACTTTAATATTTCTATTCACCTGTCAGGTTCTGATTCACTACTAGTTGGCAGAAGATCCGGTCCGGTCACATTTAAGGACTGAGTGCACAACAGGAAACGGGAAACAGGAAATGTATTACCTTTACCCATTTACCATAAATTTCTGTTAGGCATAAACGTTAATAAAAATGCCGAAGTGTGCAAAATGATTACAAAAATAAAACGCATAATAGGTAATAATTATGTAAAATAGAATGTAAAAAAAACCTGCAGCTAATATAGTCCTGACCAAAACCTAGCAAAATCTGGAAGCGCTGCACTGCTGTAGCTCACTGCTCCTGACAGGCTGCCCCAGTGGCACAGGTTGAAGGATGAGTCAATAAAGTATACTTTATCCTAACCTTACCTTTTTATATCCAACTGTCCTCTTATATTATACGCAGGATTGACTCTTGTGAGCTTTAAGCCATGTTATGTTTCCTCCTCAAAAACATACCTAGAGTTGTGTTTTGTTTCATTCATACATGTCTGAGTAACCCTTTATCTTTACTCTAATTCTGTCTACATCTCTACAACTGTTCTGTTCCACCTTGTGATGTCATGAAGTGGTAGTTTTCAAGTTAACAGCTACCTTTTACCTTTAGTAAAATGGAGATTGGCAATTCCAAAGTGCATGAGTGCTTTGAGTTTGAGAGAATAACCCAAATACGCATGTTTTTTGTGTTGACATGTATGAATAAAACAAAACATAACTGCAGGTATGTTTTCATGAGTAAACAACTTAACATAGATCAGAAAATAGTGTAATATAGGCCTTTTAAGCAAGCTCCTATTCAGACAGATGCTCATATACTTTCAGCTGATAACAAAAATGCATGAAGAACTCTGGTACTGATACAAAAAAGAGCTCATTTGTTACATATTTTTAATGTCTGGTTTTACTGATGACACCTGTGTTCAAACCTCAGGCTAATGAGATAGCAGTCACCAGAGCGCACATCCTTCTAACCTTCACAACGTTTTAGAATCATGATTCAATGTTTCTGTGGGAGGACAAGTCTCTGACAACACAGTTACATAATTATGGAGATCTGTGGATGCCTCTTGACTTTTAACAGACAAAATATTTCTACTTGTTTTGAGGGAAATTACGGACAGCGGAGACAAGAGCAAAACCACCTACGAAGGCTGAAAGGTTCACTGTGTAACTTTTCTGGAGGAGGGCCTGCCACTTAATGCTTATTCTACAGTATGGAAATAAACTTGGTATTCACAATGGAGACAGGTTAATGGTCATATCTATGGAAACGCAAGCCTGCAGATGGTGCAAATTCATGTTTTATTAAGGTATTGTTAAGCTATAAAAGATTTGTAGCTAAACATATGCAAGGGAAATACTGTATGTTTAATGCTCTACAGAGGAGCATTCTAGGCGAAGAAATAACATCTCCATGGAGACAAACAAGCAGCACTGTGTAACCTTAGAAGTTACACAGTGCACATTTAAAGAAGATGTGCTTTGGTGTGTTATACATTAGTAGTTATAATATGACATACACTGGGTCATTATGTTGTATTGCAGGCATTTCAAATATCAATATTGATCTAAAATTACTTTAAAAAGAAACATGTCTTGCTGATGTCTGGGTTGGAAAATTGCCCAGTGTGATATTAGGAGCCAATTCCAGACTGCCCCTTTATAGTAAGTAGCTGTAAATGTCATCACAACTCAAGGTCCTGTTGGCTCCACCTATGGATAGCTGCAGAACACACTAGCGATCAGCGGATAAAAATAAAAAATAAAAATGATAAGAAAATGACTATGTAAAGCTGCTGAATCCTACATGATTAGTGATTAGTGATTATTTAGGAGCACAAAGTAAGTACAAAGCAGTGGGTGTGTACCAGGGGGGTGAAAATGGAATATAAAAGATTAAACATGCACAAATCACGCTAAATACAACTTTGGTTGAGTAAATAAGAAGGGAAAATCAACTACAACATGGTAAAAAAAATATTCTGTCTCCTTTAAGTCTCAAATAACTATTGTACATTAAAGTACTTTATGGAATACTGTAGATATCACAGTATTTGATAACCACAAAGCTTAAAATGTTTAGTGTTTGGGCAGATAATGGAGCTTTTCTTTTTCTTTTTGTTCTAACCTTTTTCCTGACATCTGTTGGACTTTGTAATGATGTTTAGATACTGTATTGAAGGAGCTAAATACACAGGTTGATTTTGTTATAAATATCTTACAAAACTATAGCATATTGTAGTGTGTTAGGCAATTCTGCGTGTTTTCAAACCACCAACTCAAAACTTATTTTAAATGCCGAACTGAAGTCTGTTTCCCTTCAGCAAAAATGCATCCAAGGTTGAATACATTTTCCTTACTGTAAACAAATAAACATTGACTAATCCCTCTTGTCAGCAGTGACTCAGTGTTTACTTCAGTTACTGGTGCTTACATTTGATCTGAATCATCCGAGTGGTAAAGGGTATCACTGTTGCTACTAAGCAATGCTAATTTAGTTCATTCCTGTTTAATGTTACTGTGCTTGGGCGAATGAAGGCTGCATTAGAGCTAAATATGGGCTGTTTGCAATTCAAAACATATTCAGCATTTGGAGATGGTTGTATTACTGTTACCATGATTGCCTTGGCTCATACTGTCCAGGCAATGGCAGCTCCTCTGTGCCAAGAGCCATTATAATCACTTAAAAAAACTACATGAACTACACAGTGGATGTATACAATGCTGGCTAAGGGGTAAAATTCAACAATCCCCTGAGTTTAAGCTGTAGGGATACTTTATAGTCTCATTATTGCAGAGAAATTTGACCCATTCTTTAAGTCCGCCTGTCAGGAGCAGTGGGTGAAACCAGGACAACCTCAGTCTAAACTCTTTTATTGTGAACCTTTCAAACACGGTTCTTGGTCCTGTACTCTTCCTAGCAGTTGTCCTGGTATAGTCCCCAGTTTAGTTCCTGGTTTAGTCTCCAGTTTAGTTCTCAGTTTAGCCCTACTTTGTCCTGCTTTTGTCCCTGCATTAACTTTGGCTGAGTCTTTCTTTAATCCTGGTTTTAGTCCCGTTTTGTCCTTCTTTGGTCCCTGTTACACTTACCAATAGCGTCCTGGGTCAGTCCCTGATTCAGTCCTGCATTAGTCCTGGTTTAGTATTTCTTTAGTTCCAGGTCTAGCTTTAGCTCCACTCACCCGTAGCCTGTTAATGTCTGTGTGAGTAATCTGATGGTGCCTCCATGTCCTAGTTTAACCCTGCTTCAGTTTCTAGTAAGTCCCCGGTTCTGTCCCCGGTTCTGTCCCCGGTTCTGTCCCCGGTTCTGTCCCCGGTTCTGTCCCCGGTTCTGTCCGTCTTTAGTCCGTCTTTAGTCCGTCTTTAGTCCGTCTTTAGTCCGTCTTTAGTCCGTCTTTAGTCCGTCTTTAGTCCGTCTTTAGTCCGTCTTTAGTCCGTCTTTAGTCCGTCTTTAGTCCGTCTTTAGTCCGTCTTTAGTTCTGGTTAAATTTTTCTTTCTTAAGTCCCTAGTTTAGTTTGTAGCCTCTTTATGCCTGCGTGAGTGATCTGCTGGCAGTTGTCCCAAAGTCCTGGTTTATCAGTCCATATTTTTAATCATGGTTTAGTCCTTGGTTTAATCTTTTCTTCAGTCCGTCTTCAGTCCGTCTTCAGTCCGTCTTCAGTCCGTCTTCAGTCCGTCTTCAGTCCGTCTTCAGTCCGTCTTCAGTCCGTCTTCAGTCCGTCTTCAGTCCGTCTTCAGTCCGTCTTCAGTCCGTCTTCAGTCCGTCTTCAGTCCGTCTTCAGTCCGTCTTCAGGCCGGTCCTTCTCCAGTCCTCTTTATGCCTGTGTGGGTGATCTGCTGGCAGTTGTCCCAAAGTCCTAGTTTATCAGTCCATATTTTTATGATGGTTTAGTCCTTGGTTTAATCTTTCTTTAGCCCTGGTAGAGTCCCTGGTAGAGTCCCTGGTAGAGTCCCTGGTAGAGTCCCTGGTAGAGTCCCTGGTAGAGTCCCTGGTAGAGTCCCTGGTTGAGTCCCTGGTTGAGTCCCTGGTTGAGTCCCTGGTTGAGTCCCTGGTTGAGTCCCTGGTTGAGTCCCTGGTTGAGTCCCTGGTTGAGTCCCTGGTTGAGTCCATCTTGAGTCCATCTTGAGTCCATCTTGAGTCCATCTTGAGTCCATCTTGAGTCCATCTTTAGTCCATCTTTAGTCCATCTTTAGTCCATCTTTAGTCCATCTTTAGTCCATCCTTCTTCAGTAGCTCTTACATTAGCCTTCTCCCAACTCACCCGTAGCCTCTTGATGCCCGCGCGGGTGATCTGCTGGCAGTCGTACAGCTCTATGCGGTCCAGGCTGTGGCAGGTCTTCAGGTGCTCCAGGGAGGCGTCTGTGATCAGGGGGCAGTTGTCCAGTTCGATCACCTCGAGACGGTCGTGAGCACAGGGCCCGCTCCCCAAGTGTCTGATCCCATCGTCTGTAATGAGCTCACAGTGGGACAAACTCTGTGGAAAATCATACAAAAATGGTGAATAGCTCAAATTATACTAATAAATCTATGTGTCATAATTTACAATTTTCTCTCTCTTGAGATTTTAATTCTAACCCTTTAAAGGCCAGAAGAAGGATAGATTGGCAGTTTTAGTTAGTTATTTAATTTCAATAATTTTACTTTTAATTTACCATTCAGAATTTTTTTAAACTTTTTTCTTCAACTTAAGGTGCACTAGGGGACTTTGGTAGAGAGTCCGCTTCCTCCTTATCGCTATGGGGATGATATTGCCTTGACTGTTCCACTGTATGAGGTCGCCTCCCCTTAGATCTGACCTACAATGTAACCTGTTGTTATACAGTGGCATATCTCCCACCAAAAAAGTTACACACTTACATATTTAACAATATGAAATACAAAAGTGAGGATTTTCTTACCAAGACTTGCAAACGGGGGCAGTGGATGGACAGCTGGATGAGTGTCCCGTCTGTGATCTGGTAAAAATAAATCAATTAGTCAATTTATTTAATTATCTGCGTATTCAGCACATAACATACAGTTTTTCATATTACACTATTTTCTGATCTATGTTATAATGTTGTTTTTTCATCAAAACATACCTTGAGTTGTGTCTTGTTTCATTCACACATGTTTAACACAGAAACCCTGCGTATTTAGGCTGATTTCTTCTCTCAAAAGAAAACACTACATGACAAACAAGGCATTCTGACCGTTGGAGATGTAGACAAACTACTCAAACATGTCTGAATGAGACCAAACACAACATGGCACTTATAAGAGTCAATTTTGCATAATATAGGTCAGGTGTAAAGAAGGTTACCTGGACACATTCTTCTAAATCCATCTTCTCCAACTCATGACAATTCTAAAACAGAAACATTACAAACATGATTACGCATAAATCATTTGGGTCTAAGACTGCACCATAATTATTTGTACAGCTGTCATGATATTAGTCTCAAGAACTGAATTAGCAATATCATGAAAAGTCTTATAGAGATAAGGTTTCTAACACTGTTGGAAAGCAACTGTTGGAAAGTAAAAACTGGATTGATGAAAAAAAATTATAATAATAACAACTTATAGTAAAAGTGCTCATAATTGTAGATTTAACCATTTTGGGATTTAACATCATCATGACATTTCCCTGTGACAGTTTTTGAGTTTGTAGGAATTGGAAACTAAACCAGGACTCTCAGGTTGCTTTTGCCGTCTTTGGTCAAAAAAAACAGGACACAGACTCACCCGTGCTAATGTAGTGAAGCCAACGTCTGTAAGCTGAGAGCAGCGTGCCACCTCTAATATTCTGAGGAGGAAGAAAACAGAGTTACACTAGAACAGACTTAAAGGTGCACTGAGTAACTTTTCTGGTAGAGTTACTCTGGTACGGTTACTACACCACCAAGCCAATTTAAAGGTTATATCTGTGAAGAAGTGACCCACTCACAGTAAGAACACATGTTTTTAAAGGTATTTTTGAGCAATGAAAACACCCATAATTAATAATACATCTTATATTTTATATTTATATAATAAATGGGATCTTATATTTTATATTACAGACAAAGAAATAGGATCTCCATGGTAACGATCTCCAACCTGAAAAGTTATGCAGTGCACCTTTAAGTGCAGTCAGGAGCAAGAAAGGGACTGTGAGGAAAAAGACTGTATTATGTATTATCTTATGTTTGAGTATAGTTATTGCTAGGGTTGTCAAAAGTATAGATGCATGTATAGTATATAAATCAGATAATAATCAATACTAAAAGTAATATCAAGACTAGATACTCATTTGAGAATTCTTGAACAGTTTTTAGTGTAATTTTGAGCTATATCTGAACTAGTATAAGATCTCACGGTAACATTAAAAAAGTGCTGTTATTTTGTATGAAAATGACATTCCATTACTAAAAAATTAGCATGTAGTAACATAATTGGTATCGAGTATTAAGCCAATTCCTTAGTATGAAATCGGGTTTAAAATTTTAGTTTGGTGACAGCACTAATTATAGCTCCAAACAGATTAAACATGATTAAACAGATGTCATTGTAATAAAATTCTGATTAGAATATGTTCTGAATTATATATTAAGTTAAGCCCTTAAAACCTGGAGAAAAGTAACAGAGACCAAAGAGTTGTCATATGCTGTTCCACAAGCATAAGTGGCACTGCTTTGTTAATGTATTCATAGCAGCAGAGCAGGTGTGTAGGAAAATAATCCTGTATCAACTCAAGTGACTCTTGAGATCCAATGTTTGACCATTTTGAATAAATGTTATAATATTTCCATGTGAATAATGAGAAATTATTTCCAGACCAAAAACGGACTAACCTGAGCTTGGGGCACACTGGCCGTGCATAATGCTGTGTAAACTTTAACTTTAGATACAATTTACATAATGTTAAAAGTTAAGTTATGACAGGTTTGACCTATCATATTCTGAAATAGACAGTTTAATCCATACATTGGGACATTCTCCACGGTACCAGATATGTTTATATCATATTATGGAATATTATAGAAAGGAACAACACTTTCAAATACGAGTCCGTTTCTTAAATTTCCATGCAGGTTGATGTTGAATGTACTTGAAGTGGGGGCAGTTTTGTACCAGAGTCTGGGGCATAGACAGTATATAAAAGGACATAGCTAACCCACTAGATGCCATGGTCCAAATAGGAAGTGTTCATTAGGTGAGCTTCCGGCTCCATCGACTCAAGTTTCCAATTAACTTTAGAGTGGAAAATTGTCACCCCTCTCTCTGTAACTCCTGCTGTGAGCCTCATCCTTTTGGTCTTAAAATTTTCATATTAACTGGCTCTAATTGATCCTGGTGCTTTCATTTTGCTATACTGTATATAAATAAATTCCTATATATAATAAATTCTTCCTAATATGGACCTGGCTGCAAATTTGCTCCTATAACTGCTAGCCTCGTGAGCTTCATTTGACTGGAGCCAAATGCTATGGGTGACATCCTTAGTCCACTTCTTTATACAGTCTATGGTCGGGGGCAGTTCTTATGTACCCGATTTGGGGGCAGTTGTCTACCTGAGTCGGGGGCAGTTCTGTCCCAGGGCGTGCAGGATGGCGTCTGTGATGTTGGCACACCCGGACACACAGAGCGACTGCAGCCGGTGACAGCCTCGACAGATGGTGATGAGGCCCTCGTCTGTGATCTGCTGCTCAGGACACAGACAGAGAGAGAAAGATGGACAGAGACAGAGAGAGATGGAGTCAGGTTTATGCTTCAACATTAGAGCTATGGAGATAAATGGCAAATGAAGTTACAATTAGCTAATGACAAAAGCAGTTTATTATGGAAATGAACACTTGGCCAGTCCAGTCACAGTTAGGGATGTTACAGTGTCATTTTAGTGCTTTAATTGTGACAGGAAAGATCACAATTTTACGATTATTTCCAATTATAGATGCTAATTTATAACCACTCCTATAGTGTCTGTTGTGTGAGCAGCTTTCTGGATGTTAAGTTCATTTGACAACAAATCTCTGCGTTTTACGATTGGTCACGATTATCTTGTGACCAAAATAATACACAATATTACATGTGCTGGGGAGAGCATCTGACATTAAAGGATCTGTAAAATTCTACTAAGGCTTTGGCCTAGTACTTTACAGTCAATCCAAGATGAAACCTGTAATTGAATTTCTAGCTAATGGTACATTCGTCCTTGCAACTAGACCACATCAAAATTGGGACCAAATTTGAAAATGAGCCTGGACGAGACTAGGACTAAATGAGGACTGGAACAGAACCACATCAAGACTACATCTGGACTAAACTAGGCTTGAAACATTTGCATCAACCAAGCAGGGTGAAAACTACGGATGAAATGACATGCAAATTTATGGATATGATGTTTTCACAATCTGCATCTTGAGGTATGATATTTATTACAATATTTTGTAAAGGCTAACAAACTTGTGAATACACTACTTTTTCCTTTAAAAACTGACTTGAGAAGCTTTTGGTTCTGTCATAAATTAAGATTTAATAACAGTTATTCCATTGTGTATATTGAACTGAAACAGAGCAAAGAATCACTGTATATATCGTTCCCTCTGTTTCTTTTAGCTATTGCTGCACCATAACAATGAATTTAAGCAAAGAGATTTGATACATTGTGATGGCCCACGATATTATTGAGAGACCTTTGATGGAACGATATCATGATATTTTGGTTATTGTTACATCCCTAGTGAATACAGAGTAATTCTTTCTATGCCGAGGGGCTATTTTATCTGGTAAATCAAAGTAGAGGCTGCTTATTATTTGGTAAAGCATAAAAATATAAACACATGCTCTTCTGTTATATTGTATTGTAGACACTTACTGAGCACGTCTGTAGGTTGAGTGTGACCAGCTCGGGACAGTGGGCTCCGATGTGTTTCAAAGCCTCGTCTTCGAGCTGTAACAGAGTTTATTTGACACATTTATGAAGTTCATAAAAACACAGTTGCTGCTTGTTGCTTGTTGACATATCAGGGCCACAGCGGCTGTTACCAGTTTCCCTTTGCTGGACAGGAAGTGAGCGTCTGTCTGTTTGGAGTGAAAACAAGAGGAAGTCTGAGCCCTAAACAGCCAACACAAACCTACTTAGAATATTTTTGAAATGACAATTTTTGGATCGCAAACTATTATTAGATTTTGTGGCCCTACAGTTTAACAGGCCAACTGAAGGGGAAATGCTTCACATACACTTCACATGTTAGAATCTATTTCAAATGCCAACCTTTTTGAAAATATTAATTGTCTATTCAACTATAGTATGCTGTAAATTTTGCACAGGTGGGTTTATACACTTTAAAAAAAATTAAAAATATTGCTTTGCCTGGAATTTTCCACAGTGTGGCATTAAACCTGTGTTAAACCTATCCACCTCCATGGAGACAAGCAGGTGCCTCTACAAGGACATACAGATCTGTGGAGAGGCGACACCACTCACAGTAAGAATGCGCATATTTTTCAAGGTAATTTGCAATAATAAAAAAAGACCTGTAATTGAATAAATGCATGATAGATTACTGGTATTTTAATGCCATACTGTGAAACAAATCTCCATGGAGACGAGCAGGAGAATGACCGCCCACCAGAAAACCTTCATAGAGAACCTTTAATAATGAGATCATATTATTGTTACCATACTCTGATATTATACTAAGGTACTACTAAAGGTCCAGTTTAAAGAAGATTGATACGTTTTGTTGAGCTGTTGTCATGGTTATAACTCAGATCCTCACCACCCAAACCAAAATAATCTCAGGCTTCCAAAGAATGCGATGAATCATTTGTATTGGTTAGTGTCGCCACAACAAACCCAGACAATTATGCACATTTTCATATTTTCACATTGCTGTTTTTAAAGGTGCATTGCTCAGCTTTTTCTGGTTGAGGGGCAGCTACCTACTTGTCTCCATGGAGATGTTATTGCTTTGCCTGGAATGTTCCATGGTATGACATTAAACATATCCATCTGGCATTTATTTATTATTATTACTAAAAAATACAATAATTCCTTCTGTGAATAGGGGCACCTCTCCACAAATCTGAACTGTAATAAAGCGTAGTGCTGTAACCTGCTTGTCTCCCTTGTGATAGATTTAATATGTACTGTGGAACATTCCAGACAAAGCAACAACATTTCCATGGAGACAAGCAGCTGGCGCACCCTCCACTAGACATGTTATGCAGTGCACCTTTAAACACAAAAACAAGGCACCCCGCCCATACCTGCGTGCACCCTTTGAGAAACAGTCCTTTGAGACCGGGACAGGACCGGACCAGAGCCTGGATGCCGTCCTTGGTCACCTGATCACACCACGAGATGTTGAGCTGCTCCAAGTTAGGACAGCCCTCACTGAAAACATAAAACAAATGTTGGTATGTGCAAAAAGTTGTTTTTTTAACTAATTTAGTCGTTTCTCACCTGAGCGCTTTGAGAGAAAGATTGGTGATTGAGGTACAAGAGGCGAGGTCCAGGTGCTTCAGTTTGGGGCAGAACTTACTGAGACTGTTACATGTGCTACAAAACGAGAAATATACACATTTGATTAAAAATAAGTGGTAATAAATACTTTGAAGTCATAACACAGAAGATGAAGGACAGGTAATGAATCAGTGATAAAATAAAATCTATATATTTGAAAATCTAGTTTAGTATAATGAAATTTGTGGATTTTATGCCTAATTGTAAAGGTAAGAGATATAAATCGATATTAAAATAGTTGTTTTAAAGATAGTATATTAAAAAGATGCGATTGTGTAAATTCCAGCATGATTCCATGGAAATAGAATGTTAAGACCATACTCTTGTTTTATGCCACACTATTGAAGATATAGTCAAAGGAACAATTTAGATGGAAACAAGAAGGGGCCAGGCTTGTGTAAGAAAACCAAAATGAAAAACGCTTTTACCTTATTTTAGTATATTTTTGGCTTAAACATACTGTCAGCCAGGCCGGCACCACCTGATGCCTCCGCTCAATTTCATTTCTCTCCAGCAACTAGTTCAGGAATCGGGATACACTAGACGGTTCATAAAAACCCCAGAAGTGCAAGTTCAGGCACTGGCCAATCAGCGAAGAGTCATACATTCTGTGTTGTCAACGATTCCCGAGATCGAGGATTTAAAACCCGAAAATAAAGAGAATGTTTGGTGAATTTCATCAAGGTTATTGCTCTTCTTCCTACGGGATTTGGGAAAAGCTTAATCTAACAGTTAGCCCTGTTAGCGGCGCATTACATACGTGACTATCAAACAGCAGCGATTGGTTAAATGATAAAAGTATTCGCCTACCGTTGAGCGAACAAATTCTAACACTGCAAGGTCAGACAGTTTCTATGAAGTGAATCCAGCTGATGAATCAGGCTAACATACTGTGGCTTTAATGTACAAACCTGTCAGTGATCTTGGTGCAGCCATTCAAACTGAGCAGTTCAATGTTCCTGCAGTTTTGGGCAAATGTCCTAAAGAAAAATACAGATTAGACATAAACAATTGTAAGTTCTCATTGGATTTAAACAACAATGACTTATGTTTCTAACATGAATATGTTAAAGAAAACCTATTGTGCTTGTGTCTGCTATACAGCTATAATCTATCTGGATCTAGATCATTATGATAGATAGATATTTTGTTGATCCTTAACGAAATATTAAAAATTATGTCATAATTTGAACATTTTAATCACAATATTCACCTAAAACGACTTATAAAAGAAACAAGCCTGCTGACTTCAGCGTAAGAAAAGAGCTGTGCCAAATTGGAGCTGACGTCAACGTAAATGTCATCACAACAAAGAGACGGCAACTCTAATGGATAGCTGCACATCATGCGGGCGAGACAGCAATTTATTTATTTTTATTCTTATCAAAATGACAACACAACGGTGCCAAATCCTACATGCATCACCAATTAAGGAAATAAAATTGGAGAACAAAGCTCATACAGAGCAGTGAGTTTATGTCTGTGGTGATAAAATTGGGGTGGAACGCAATATGGCGCCTTGAAAAAGTGTTTAAAGATTACTCAAACATGCACGAATCACTCAATATACAACTTCCAGAGGGTAAATGAGAAGAGGAAACCACTGTAAGATGGTTAAAAGCCCTGAAAAAAAAATAATTTTGAATAATAGGTCTGCTTTAATCCAAAACATCTTTTCCACTGAAATACTATCTGAATCATTTTACATTTTAATTGTGAACATCCATCATTTGTGTTTTGGAAATGATTAAATTACTGAAAGTTTTGCTTTGTCAGAAATTTTTATTTTTTTTTTACAGATTCTATACAGCATCAGTTGTCATTCCCATTTTACTCTACTACTACTTAAAATAACATAACCTAAAATAAGATAACTTCAGAAACTTTCCCTTTACTTGCCTACAAAGAGCACAATAAATAATGCAAGTTTTACAAATTGATTTTCAACATTTGTAACACTCATTCCATGTACCAGAACTGCCATCTCGTGACTGCTGCTTGTCCATATCGTCTCCATTATAGATTTTTATTGTGAGTTCAAAATAAAAAATGTTGCTTAAGGAAAATTACAGCATATACTAAATCGATTATGATGGTAGTATTTTCAAAGAAAGTGGGTAATGTAGATCAAAGAAGAAAAAGCTGTACCCTTGAATAGAAAATGGCTGTGTGGATTCCAGTCAGGAGTGTACAAATCAGATTAGTGTTAAGGGCACGGGCATTAGAGACAGCATTATCTCTTATGTGAATGTTATGCAAGATATTTTGTCGATTAATTCAATTGACAGTTGCATATATAACCCTTTGAACAAAATAATGTTCTCTTTTTCTTACTCTCTCTCTCACTCTGCCCCCCCCACCTCTGTTTTTCTCCCTCTCTTTCTCCCTTGATCTCTCCTTTGCTTTCTCTCCCTCTCTCGCTTTCTTTCTCCTTCTCACTCTACCCCTCCCTCTCACTCTTTCTGTTGCTCTCTCTCTAACCCTCTCTCCCCCCTCACTCTCTCTCTCTGCCCCCCTCTCTCTGTCTTTGTCTCTCTCCCTCTTTCCTTTGCTCTTTCTCTCCTTCTCTCTCCCCACTCTCTGCCCCCTCGGTCTCTCTCCGTCCGTGTCTCTCTCCGTCCGTCTCTCTCCGTCCGTCTCTCTCCGTCCGTCTGGCTCTCTCCGTCCGTCTGGCTCTCTCCGTCCGTCTGGCTCTCTCCGTCCGTCTGGCTCTCTCCGTCCGTCTGGCTCTCTCCGTCCGTCTGGCTCTCTCAGTCTGTCTGGCTCTCTTCGTCTGTCTGTCTCTCTTCGTCTGTCTGTCTCTCTCTCTCTCTGTCTGTCTGTCTCTCTCTCTCTCTGTGTGTGTCTCTCTCTCCCCCTTGGCCCCCCTGCCCCCTCTCTCCATCTGTCTCTCTCCCTCGACCTCTCCTTGGCTCTTTCTACCTCTCTCCCCCCGTTCTTCCTCTCTTCACACCTCTCTCTCTCCATTGCGCTCTCTCTCCCCCTCACTCTGTTGCTCTCCCCCCTCACTCCCTCTCCCCCTCTCCCTCTTTCTCTCTCCCCCAATCTCTATTTGTCTGTCTCTCCCTCCCCCTCCGTCTCTCCCTCCCCCTCCGTCTCTCTCCCTCCGTCTCTCCCTCCCCCTCCGTCTCTCTCCCTCCGTCTCTCTCTCCCTCCCTTCCACCCTCCCTCCCTCCCTCTCTTCCTCCTTCTCTCTCTCTCTCTCTCCCTCTCCACGGTCGGACCCCCTCACCTCAGGGCGCTGTCCCCCACGCCGAGACACCCCCGCAGGCTCAACTTCCTCAGGAACCCCCCGCATCGCTTTGAGATGTTCTCCACCACACGACCCTGTTTGGAAAAGAAATATAGATTTCCTTTAATCACCAGGATTCATAACACAGTAATTACTCTAAACATTACGATTGCTCAGGGGTAAAATGATAAACAACCATCGTCATTGAGAAACCTGTTTTAAAAGGTACATCATGTGTCTATATCTAAGTAAGTCTAACTTATCAGGTGAAGGGTCTGCCGCTTGTTTGTTTCCAAGGAGATGTCATTGTTTTGCACGGAAGGTTCCACAGTAAGGATTTAAACTACTTTGTCCATGCAAACAAGCAGGCACAACAGACAACTGCGCACTTTAAAGCAGCATGGGGAAGCTGGGTTAGAATATAAAAAAACTAGTCTTTCGAATTTGAGAATAAGCCAACCAAAGAACCGCAGAAGAGTATCTAAAAAAATCCAGTTTCTCTTCATCTGTGAACCTGAAAGTCTGTATATCTTACCTCAATATCTCTCTGGAAGTCAAAGAGGTCGATTCTCTGCCAGTTGCTGCCGTCTAATGCCAGGACGTTCCAGGACTGTGGACAAAATGGAAAAAACACAGCATTTTCAATAAAAGAGCCCATCTTATCTACTAATATATTAACTTTTCACATCACTTCCACATTTTTTTTACTTCAATGCAGTGCAATTCTAGCCAGTACCTAACAGTTCATATTTCAGCCTTACTTCGCATCCTCTCCGATTATTTGAAAGCACATTTTAGGGATATGCACTGAGTAAAATTTGCCACCATTGATTTACAGTTTTAAAATGTTGCTCTTAAAAATTGAATCTGAAAACAAAACTATTCCACTAGTAAAAATTATGTGGGCATCTGTATTGTACTGTACTGTCTTATTTATTGTTTTCTAAGTGTTGCTATAAGTTAAATCAACAATTCTAAAAACACAACTTTGTCAGTTTTGCACAGTCTCTCAGTTTCTCTCAGAGCCCAGTTTAGTCCTGATGTAGACTAGTCCTGGTTTAGTCCTACTCTAGTCCAGGTTTAGGTCTGGGTTTAGTTCCAGTTGGGTCCCAATTTTAAAGCGCTACAGAAGACTCACCCTGGAGACCTGAGCACAGCGGCAGAGCGTCACCACGTCCAGAAAAGAGAAGATTCTGCAAAAACAGTAAAAAAAAAACCCAAACAAAACAGTGACATTTCAGACATTTTTATCACAGAGATTTGACCTTAAAGCGACTCCCCCTCGACACTGAGCTGTGAGTAAACTGACTAATACTGTCAAGAGAGCCACTTCAGTGTTACTCTGTCTGAAGAATTACTTTAGAAAATGTGTTTGAAGAGGAATGTTAAATAGAGCTGGGCAATACAGTGATAAAAAGCAAATCGTGATATTACTGTTACAACCAGGATTCACCATTCCTCTATTAAAAGATACAATATGTGACTTTTTTGGATGTGGCGTGTCACCTGCACTATTCCATGGAAATAGAAAGTTAAAAATGACAGTCTCCATGAATATAGATAGGTTTTATGCCATACTGTGGAAGATTATAGCCAAAGGAACAACATTACAATGGAAGCAAGCATGAAAAGGCCCTTGTTACATACTGTGGCTTTAATGGAGCCGTTTGCTCAAACATTTTTTTCACACTCACTCCTCCCAAATATTGT